TGCTTGCCTTGAGCTGAAGAGCTGAGGGACAGCGCCCAGGCCCAGAGTTCAGGCCCACCACCGGACCCCCCCCCAAAAAAAAAAACCAAGAAAATTGCCCAAGCCAGGCTGGTGGTTTACCTCTGTAATCCTAGCTACTCAGGAGGCTGAGCTCTGAGTACCACAGCTTGAAGCCAGTCCAGGAAGGAAAGTTTGAGAATCTTATCTCCAAATAACCACTAGAAAACTGGTACTGGTACTGGAGCTCAAGTGGGAGAGCATTAGCCTTGAGCAAAAGAGCTCAGGAACAGCACCCAGGTCCAGAGTTCAAGCCCCACAATTGACAAAACAAAAAATTGCCCAAAGGGAGTAATTTTATTTGTGAAATATGGACACAAAGTAGAAAAAATATTCTAAGCACCTATGTTGGCATTGGCATAAAAGAGCATGTTCCTTATGTTTAATTAGAGGTAGTTTGAGTGGAGGTGAGAGGCAAAAAGCCAGGATAGTGAAGATACAGAGATACAAGATCCAGGTTTTAAAAGGAACTGTGCCAGGACTTGAACTCAGGCTCTCTCATGCAGTCACTTGGCTTTTTCCCTTTTCTTTTCTGGTCGGTTGTGGGGCTTGACCTCTGGGCTTGGGTGCTGTCCCTCAGCTCTTCAGCACAAGGCTAGCATTCTACTGCTTGAGCCACAGCGCCACTTCTGGTTTTCAAGTCGGTTATTGGAGATAAGAGTCTCATGGATGTTCCTGCCCCGATGGCTTTGAACTGCGATCCTCAGATCTCAGCCTCCTGAGCAGCTAGGATTATAGGCGTGAGCCACCAGAGCCCAGCTCACTTGGCTTTTTCTATTCACAGCCTTTACTCCTCATTTCTGGCTCACCCATACCCCCTGCCTGGCTTAGTGGACATATCTTCAGGATTTGCCTGCCAAGGCTTGCTCTGATCCAGGATTCTCACATAGGATTATAGGTGTGAGCCATCAAAGGGCACTGAGTTTAGAGTTTTATTTTTTGTGCTGGAACTGGAGTTTTGAACTCAGGGATTCCTGTTCTGTTGTCTTTGTGCTCACGGCTGACTCTCTGCCACATGAACCACAGCTCCACTTCCAGCTTTTGTTTTTGTTGAGCTTGAGTCTTGAACTCTGGGCCTGAGCACTGTCCCTCAGCTCTTCAGCTCAAGGCTAGCACTCTACCACTTGAGCCACAGCACCACTTCCAGTTTTCTAGCAGTTAATTGGATATAAGAGTCTCATGGACTTTCTTTGCCTGCTGGCTTTGACCTGTGATTCTCAGAGCTCAGCCTCCTTGAGCAGCTAGGATTACAGGCGTGAGCCACCGGCGGTGCCTGGCTTCCAATTATATTTTTACATTCCTATTTTCACTTATGCACTGCCATTCCCAAATTTATCATACTGAAAACTCCTACCTCCAATTAACCAGTTTTTGCTGGAAGTAGAGTTGTGGCTTAAAGTAGTAGATAACGAACTAGCCTTGAGCAAAAAAAATCACAGGGAGGGCAGGAGTTGGCTCAGTGGTAGAGTGCTTGCCTTGCATGCATGAGGCCCTGGGTTCTATTCCTTAGCACCACGTTAGCAGAAAAAGCCGGAAGTGACACTTATGGCTCAAGTGGTAGAGCACTAGCCTTGAGCTGAAGAGCTGAGGGGCAGTGCCCAGGCCCAGAGTTCAGGCCCCACGACCGACAAAAAAAAAAAAACACCTACACATGAGTCTGAGAGCTTAGGATCATGGTTTGATGTCAGCCTGGGCAGAAAAAATTATTTCCAATAAACAAACTACCAAAAAGCCAGAAAGGGAATCTGTGGCTCAAGTGGTAAAACACAACGTTGAGTGAAAAAAACTGAGGGTCAGGACCCAGGTCCTGAGTTCAAGCCTGAAGACCAACACATACACAAAGACCTAAAACTTTGTTAAACTGTCATACTTACTTCAGAATCACCCAGGTATGATTAATATTCTCATATTCTTTTAATTTCTGACTCAATAGGTCTGTTAGGGCTTATCTCAGACCCATGAGTCCACACAAAAGAATCATGTGACTTTGATGACTTGAGAACTGTGGGGGTTCAAAGTAAAACAAGTGCCTAAAGAAAAAGGGAACCGGGCTGGGAAGGTGGCTCAGTGGTAGAGCGTTTGCCTTGCATGCATGAGGCCCTGGGTTTGATTCCTCAGGACCACATAAGCAAAAAAAAAAAGCCGGGAGTGGCGCTGTGGTTTAACTGGTAGAGCACTAGCCTTGAGCTAAAGAGCTGAGGGACAGCGCCCAGGCCGAGTTCAGGCCCCACGACGTAGACCCTATGAAATAAAAGTTCTCTTCTCTTTAACTTGTGACCACAGATGCAGAGAAGAAAAAGCCATTGTATTTGAGAGGTTATGAAATTTAGGCTAGAGTTCTGGATAAATTCAATCCAGATTAACACTATCAGTTTAGGAAAAAATACCTGTTAAAAGCAAATCAAAAGGGGCTGGGAAGGTGACTCAGTGGTAGAGCACTTGCCTTGCATGCATGAGGCCCTGGGTTCAATTACTCAGCACCACATAAGCAAAAAGAAAAGAGCCAGAAGTGGTGTTGTGGCTCAAGTGGTAGAGCATTAGCCTTGAGCTGAAGAGCTTAGGGACAGTGCCCAGGCCGAGTTCAGGCCACACGACTGGACCCCCCCCCCCATAAAAAAAAAAAAAGATCGGCAGTTAACAGTACTGATCACCTGTGTATTATCTGACATTTGGGTCCCAACTGCTTAAGTCTCAATGCCTTATTTTTTAAATTTGTCCAAATTATCGGCACTAACTTGTTTCCTTACCACCAACAAATTACTCCTGGAATGTTTTTTTTTTGGTCGGTCAAGGGGCCTGAGGGCTATCCCTCAGCTCTTCAGCTCAAGGCCAGTACTCTACTACCTGAGCTTCAGCACCACTTCGTTTTCTGGTATTTTATTGGAAATAAAGAGGTTCATGGCCAGGCTGGGAATGTGGCTTAGTGGTTAAGAGTGCTTGGCTAGCATGCATGAAGCCCTGGGTTTGATTCCTCAGTACCACATAAACAGAAAAGGCTCGAAGTGGTGCTGTGGCTCAAGTGGTATAGTGCTAGCCTTGAGCTGAAGAGCTCAGGTCCAGAGCCCAAGCCTCAAGACTGACCAAAAAAGTTTTACAGCCTTTCCTACCGGGGCTTTGAATCAACATCCTCAGATCTCAGCCTCCTCAGTAGCTAGGATTATGTGAGCCACTGGCACCTGGCTTTGGAATAGTATTCTTGAAATGTACAAACTTAGGTATTTGTCTTCAAATTAATATGCTAAGAACCAAAAAAATGGTATGCAGTGTTTTTCACTAGTGACATTCAACATGAAATGATTATTTCAAGGAACAAATCTATTTAGATAAATGCATCTACCATTACCATTAAACCTACAAGTCTTAGTCGCAATCCCAAACTAAATCTAAGGCTCATAGCTTGAATCACCTAGAGCTAGAGTGGAAGTGTTTCAAGTAATAGAACTAGCCTAGAGTAAAAAAGCTTAGAAACAGTACCAACACATACACACAGGCAGGCACCCAGCAAAACGGATGAATGGGTTAACAGTTTAGCTAATGGATTGATTTACAGCTTTTGTGTGTTGGCCCTGGGCCTTGAACTCAGGGAGGGCCTAGTTGCTGCCCTAGCTGGACTAGCAATCTACCGTTTTAGCCACACCTTTTGGCTTTCTGGTGTTTAATTAGAATAAGTCTCATATTTTCCTACTCAGGTCAGCTCAGAATAAAATTTTATAGTTTGATAGAAGGCCACTGCTGGCTTTCATTTGTAACCCTAGCTACTCAGGGGAGATTCAGATAGCCAGGCAGGCCAAAAAAGTCTGAGATTCCATTTTTGAAAATAACCAGCCAGGTACCAGTGGCTCACAACTATAATCCTAGATACTAAGGAGGCTGAGATCTGAGGCTCGAAGTTCAAAGCCAGCCTGGGCAGGAAAGTCCTTGAGACTGACTCTTCTCTCAGTGATTCACCATGAAACCAGAAATGGCACTGTGGCTCAAGTGGGAGAACACTAGAGCCTTGAGCAAAAAGCTAGGCTGGAGTAGGTCAAACTAAACTATATGCAAGTCCAAAAAGTTTCTCTTCCTTGAAACTAAAAATTATACTATATAGAGCATTACTTTAGCATTTTCCAAAGATTAAGCCACTGAAACACAGGACAGTTGTTCAGCATCTTAAAAAATGGCTGAAGCCAGGTGCAAATATCAATCCTAGCTACTCAGGAAGCTAAGATCTGAGGAAGCCAGCGTGGGCAGTAAAGTCTGTGAAACTCTTTTAACTCCAATTAATCACAAAAAGAAGGAAGTTGAGCTGTGGTTCAAACGGTAGAGTGCTAGCCTTGAAAATAAAAGCTCAGGACAGCTCCCAGGCCCAAAATTCAAGCCTTAGTACCAAAATAAGTTTTGAGTTTTCATTCTGAATACCGGGAGAAAAAAAGGCTTTTATTCTAAATCTTCATCAATCTGGTATGAATATCTTGTGTACAAATGCCTCTTCCATCTGTTTTCTTTCCCCCCCCATTAAGTTTTCTTCAAGCTTAACCTGAGATCTACATACACACAGTAACTCACTTGAGGAACTAACCTTCGTATCCTCAGAACTTTTGCTGCATGAAACACATGTCCTAAATATATAAAATATTTCTGATACAAAGCTAAAAGAAATACAGAAGCTATGAGGGAATGAAAACTGCCAAAATGCAGAAGCCCAAAAATGTATAGGAGGACAACACATTCAGCTTTATTTCAGTCAAATCACAACACCTTCTTTTCCAGCCACTGCAAAGTGCATCTACAATTTTCTATTACAGATCCACTTTATAAAGGTTTCCTGTGACATTACAGCAAGCCTTTTACTTTTCTTTAAAACAAAGCAGTCCCAATTCTACCTCAAAAGTAAAACTCCATTCCAGTAAATGGTAAATACATGAAATTACAGTAACCAGACACTTAAAAGGACAGCCAAGAAATCTTCCAACAGTTTATTAGAAAGAATGTAGACATTTAAAAAAATCCCCACTGTCATGAACATAAATTGAGGTTTTTCAGCCCAGTTATAAGCTGAATCAAAAAAAAAAAAAAAATTAAAAAAACCCAATAGTGTATTAACATTTTCTCACTCATTTGCCATACTGACAGTGCAAATACAATCTGGTCTAAAATGTACATACTCTCAAGCAACAATGTACAGCTTTCTTTGTCCTCCATGCTAAGAGATGTAAAAGCTTAAGGGTCAAACAATACCAAATGTATAGGCTTCAAAAACCATCTAATTTAGGGCATTCACTAGTTTTAGCTAAGATACATCTGGAACACTGACAAAGTAATAATTTATATGCGATAATGTGAAGTAATTTTTTTCGAAAAATAAACTTTAGTGAAACAATCTTGAAGGATACACCAGAGAAATGACACGGTTTATGTTTAAGGTGTCAGCCAATTTGTTTCAGTCACTTTTGAATCCATGTTCTGGGAATTTAAAATTTATTCATCTTTCTCTAAGTTGAAAACTTCCTATCTTGTCAGTAGCTAAGTTATGAGTAAAGGGAGACTTAGGTGAAATATTTTATTTATCACAATTGCTGTGAGCAATTGCCTAGATGGACCTCAACAGCTTCATGAAATCTGGGAAATGTTCATGCACAAGGATATATTGCCTTAGCTGACTTAAAGTTGCCCCATACAATGGTACATTATCAACCCTTAGTGAAGCCTTTTTAAAAAAATCAAACAGGTTGAAAAATGGGTTAAAGAGGCAAATACAGCATCTGCCTTTAGAGCTATCAACTCAGGAATTTTCTCAATTATGAAATCTTGCAGAGAAATTTTCTTTCTCAAAATCCAGGTGATGACAATACTCCTTATTCCAGATCCGGCATTTCTGAAAAGATTTTTTTAAAAACAATTAGTATAAATTATGAAGGAATACAGGGGCATTAGAAGAGAATCTACCAGCGCTTGTCTTGCATGCATGAGGCCCTGAGTTCGATTCCTCAGCACCACATAAGCAAAAAGAAAAAAAAGGCGGAAGTGGTGCTGTGGCTCAAGTGGTAGAGTGCTAGCTTTTAGGTGAAGAGCTGAGGGACAGCGCCCAGGCCTGGAGTTCAGGCCCACGACCAGACCCCCCAAAAACCCCCAAAACTTCAGAATTGGTAGACCCCGGCCCTCTGAAGTTTTATAGGGAAAATATTTCTTGCCAAATTCCTCATTAGCTGAAATAATTTATTTTTTTTCCTGCCAGTGCTGGGCTTGAACTCAGGGTTGGGGCACTGTCTGGGAGCCTCTTTGTTCAAGGCTAGCACTCTATCACTTGAGCCACAGAGCCACTTCTGGCTTTTTCTGTTTTTTTTTTTTTTTTGTCAGTCATGGGGCTTGAACTCTGGGCCTGGGCGCTGTCCCTCAGCTCTTCAGCTCAAGGCGAGCTCTCTACCACTTGAGCTTTAGCGTCACTTCTGGTTTTCTGGTGATTTATTGGACATAGCAGTCTCAGGGTCTTTCCTGCCCGGGCTGGCTTTGAACCACCACCCTCAGATCTCAGCCTCATGAGTAGCTAGGATTACAGGCATGAGCCACCAGCGACCGGCACTTTTTCTGTTTATATGGCACTGAGGAATCAAAATCAGAGCTTCGTGCATGTTAGGGAAGCACTCTACACCTGTAAGTCACATTCAAAACCAGGGCTTCATGCATGGTAGGCAAGCACTCTACCTCTAAGTCACATTCCCAGCCATCAAATTATTTACTTTTGCACATTGTGTTTTCTAATCAACATCAAAAACAGGGCTAGGAAGGTGGCTCAGTGGTAGAGCGCTTGCCTTGCATGCCTGAGGCCCTAGGTTTGATTCCTCAGCACCACAGAAGCAAAAAGAAAAAAGCCGGAAGTGGCGCTGTGGCTCAAGTGGTAGCCTTGAGCTGAAGAGCTGGGGGACAGCACCCAGGCCCAGAGATCAGGCCCCATGACTGGACCAAAAAAAAAAAAAAAAAAAAAAAAACCAACTAAAATTTTCTTTCCAAAATCTGACAATGACATCTTTAGATTTCAAATTCCCTGTGATGTAAGACACCACCGCATAAACATATTTTCAACAAAGACACTTACTTTCATCATCACTGTCTTGTGAATCCTGTAGAGAGGAAATACAAAGTTACCCAACTGAAGAAACATTCTTTTCCTAATAGATTAAAAAAAAATTGTATTTCTGACTAAAGAAGCATAAATATGAGTATTTTAAGCCTAGGAATTTCATTATTGGACTTAAGATGTAGTTTACTTAAGGTGATGGGATGTATAATTGAGGACCTATTTTCCTATAAAAACTCACCTTTTGACTTTTTCCCTAAATTTTCTTGTTATTCAATAAAGGGAAAAATGGTTTGACACAAAAAAACCAATAGAATATCAGAAGATAATGAATTCTAATTCTAGATCCTGAAAGTCTTAAGTATTTCCCAAACCTTTCTGGAAAATGTTAACAGGATTCCAGAGGGGGAAACGTTAAAAGACCAGTCAATCTATCTACCTGATAGATTCACAATGCCTGTTTATTACAGTAACTGAATACAATGTATACCCCACAGCACTGATTCTAGCCAATGAGCCTAGCATTGTACAAACGCCCAATAAAAAACATGCTTTTCAACTTACTGTAGCCCTAAAGTCAACTGCTTTACCCCCTAATACAACTTCTAAGGGGGGGGGGAGGGGGAGTGGGTGTTGCTAAATAAGGATTTGGACTCAGGGTCTTGGCTCTTGCTTTATTATTATTTGTTTACAGTTAAAGGTCTACCATTTGGGCCACCCCTCTAGTCCAGCCATTTTGATTGTTAACTGGGGATAGTGTCTTGAAGACTTTTCTTCCTGGACTGGCTTCAAAACATAATCCTCCTCCTGGCTCCTGAGCAGCTAATATTAGGAGTTTGAGCCACCAGGCCTGATCTCTAATGAGATGTTCACAGAAAAACTAACTAACAAGTAGCAAAACAACAACAAAAAACAATCTATACAAAAGGACCTATAAATGCATCTTTCTCATTATCAGTATAAACAGATAAAAGAAGACAGACTTACATCATCTGCTCCATCCACTTCTGGTAAATCTACATCCTCATCACCACCCATGTTGTTCATCATCTATTTGAAGAATAAAAATTAGTTTTAAAGATGGATGTTAAATCAAGTCCTAGTTACTAAGTCCTAGTTATTAAAGGGGCACACTCCATTCCCACAAAAAACGAAGAAAAAAACTTTAGTACTTCCTTTCTGGAAGATTATAGGTAATTATGCAAAGTCTTGAAAACTTGTAAGAAAATAAAGTTTTCCTCAAAGGAAAGTGAATTTTCTTTTTTATCAGTCCTGGGGCTTGAAGTGAGGGCTTGGGCACTGTTCCCAAGAGTTTTTTGCTCAAGGCTAGCACTCTAATACTTGAGCTACAGTGCCACTTCTGGCTGTTTATGTGGTACTGAGGAATCAAACCCAGGGCTTCATGCATGGTAAGGAAGCAATCTACCACTAAGCCACATTCCCAGCCCAAAGCAAAGTGAATTTATTAAAATTCATTCAGTAGCATATATAGGGAAACATTAAAATTATACACGAGTCCTTAATCCCCATTTCTTATATAGGGACCAAGAACTGTTCCTTTTTTCTCTACTTTAATTCTGCTATCTATATTACAGTATTCCGATTTAAAGACATAATAAATTATAATATTTAGAGCTGATGTCTTTGGCTCATACTTGTAATCCTAGCTACTCAGTAGGATGAGATAAGAATGGCACTACCAAGCCAGCTTGGGCAGGAAACTGTGAGAGACTCTCATCTCCAATTAACCAAAAAGAAAAGCTCAAAGTGGAGCTGAGGCTCAGGTGCTACAGTGTCAGCATTAAGTGAAAAAGTTAAGGGACAGTTATCCTGGCCCTGGGTTCAAGCTGAAATACTGGCAGTGGCAGCAGCAACAGCTGCAGTAAAAGGAGGAGGAGGAGGAGGAGGAGGAAAGAAGAGGAGGAGGAGGAAAGAAGAAGAGGAGGAGGAGGAAAGAAGAAGAGGAGGAGGAGGAGGAGGCAGCAGTGGCAGCATGGCAGCACGAGGCAAGGAGCAGCAGTGGAGGAGGAGGAAAAAGAAGAAAAAGCTGCTATGGGGTCTTGGTGGCTCACAACTATAATCTGAGATCCGAGGATTGCAGTTTGAAGCCAGCCCAGGCAGTAAAAGTCCAAGAGATTCTTATTTCCAATTAATCACCAAAAAGCCAAAAGTAGAGCTGTGCCTCAAGTAATAAGAGTGCTAGCTTTGAGAACAAAAACTTAGGGACACACACAAAAGATGAAGTTAGAGACATAGTTGTAAACTAAAAATATCCCTATAAAACGTTTGAGTATGACCTTACCATTATTGTTATAGCCCTAAAATGTAAAGCCAATTATATTCATGCTGCAAATAATCTGCCTCAATGTGCACACAAACACAGAATGGTTTTGAGAAGGAAGTGTCTATATGAATACATAGCAAATGAATGTACACATGTAACATGTAGAGAATGACTTTAAAAGAACTTACCTCAGAGAAACGATCAAAATTAGACATGTCTTCGTCTGAATCATCTTCCCAGTCTTTCCAATTATTGAAATCCACACTGAGCCAATTAAGCTGCATATGAATACACACAAACCTGTTAGTTTGTACCTTAAAACATTTTTTGGACTGTAGGCTCACACTCATTAAATATTGTTCCATGAAACTTTTATTTTAGTTGTCAAACTTTTATTATTTCTGCTAGTCCTGGGGCTCGATCTCAGGGCCTGGGCATTGTCCCTAAGTCTCTTTTGCTCAAGGTTAGCACTCTGTACTTGAGCCACAGCACTTCTGCCTTTTTCTTTGTATGTGGTACTGAGGAATCATGCATGCTAGGCAAGCAATCTACCACTAAGCCACATTCTCAGTCCTTGTTAACCTTTTTTTTCTTTTTGTCATGGGACTTGAACTTGGCCTGAGCTCTTCAGCTTAAGGCTAGCACTCTACCACCACTTGAGCCACAGTGCAACTTCCAGTTTTCTGGTCATTTATTGGAGATTAAGTCTCATGGACTTTCCTGCCCAGGCTGGCTTTAAACCGCAATCCTCAGATCTCAGCCTCTTGAGTAGCTAGGATTACAGGCATGAGCCTCCGGTTCCCAGCCTTTTCACCTTTTTTTAATACAGAAAAAATTCACTGGTAGAAGTTATTACTGGAATTACTTTATTTGGCAAGCATCTACATTCCCATGTGATAGCCAAGTAAATTCTCAGATCTCAGCCTGAGTAACTAGCACTATGTGTGTGAACCACCAGTGCCTCGATATACATATATATATATTTTTAATCAATGTACTATTCCATTTTATCTCCTTACTTCCTCCTCCTCTTTTACTTGCAATAGGATCTAATTTGACCTTGTCTGGAATTGATAGATCCTCCTGCTCTCTCTACCTTCTGGTTCAGGTAAATGCCAACTACGCTTTTTGTGTTGTGCTGGGTACTGAACCAATTTACCACCAAGGTACATCCTCAGCTCCTAAATCTATCTCTTGAATATAAAAGATTCTGCTTCTACTAGTGACCACAACTGATGGAGATAAGTTGAAAGACATATGGAATACGAGCCTTTGTACTTAGTGGATAAGTAATGTTTTAATAACATTTTTTCTTGCCAATCCTGGGGCTTGAACTCAGGGCCTGGGCACTGTCCCTGAGCTTCTTTTCCTCAATGTTAGCATTCTACCACTTGAGCCACAGCACCACTTCCAGTCTTTACTGAGGAATCAAACCCAAGGCTTCATGTGTGCTAGGCAAGCAGTCTACTACAAAGCCACATTCCTAGCCCTTTCATAAACCTTGAAAAATAAAAAAAATAATAAAAAATAAAAAAGCGAAAACCTACCTTTGCCCTTTCTTTTGTTAACCTAGGCCACGACTGGCCAGATTCTCCTTTTCTTAAACAACATAAAATTGATCTGTCTGTTCTTTTATGCTTGGAATCCTAAAAAGAAAAGCACCAATTAAATCTTCAGGACTACTACAGGATGAAAATAGCTTGTTTATTATCTCTTTTTGTTTGTGGTACACATATTCAAATTTAGTAAGAAAAACAAGTAACCTATACTTGATATACATTCAGCCTTTTATGTTTTGGGTGTTATGTATGCATGTCCACATGCACCTATTGAGGCTGGTGTCCCTAACTCTCACATTTATCTGCCTGGTGGCTTCAAACCTTGTTCCTCAGATTTCAGCCTTGTAAATGAACTACTAGTACCTGGTCCTGCTACTGTTTTCAGTCTCACTCCAATGCATAAAAATTCTTCCCTTAGCCTCCCAAGTGCTGAGAATTATAGGTGTGTGCGAGTGCTCTCATGCCCAACTCTTTTTTTTTTTTTTGGTTGGTTGTGGGGCTTGAACTCGGCCTGGACACTGTCCCTGAGCTCTTCAGGTCAAGGCGAGTGCTCTACCACTTGAGCCAAAGCACTACTTCTGGCTTTTTGTTCCCAGTTTATGTGGTGCTGAGGAATTGAACCCAAGGCCTCATGCATGCAAGGCAAGCGCTGAGCAACCACTGAGCCACCTTCCCAGACCTCTTGCTTAACTCTTATTGCTCTACTATTTGAGCCACAGTGCCATTTCAGGGATTTTTTTTTTTTTTTTTTTTTGTCGGTTGCAGGGCTTGAACTCTGGGCCTGGGCACTGTCCCTCAGCTCTTCAGCTCAAGGCGGGCACTCTACCACTTGAGCTACAGCGGCACTTCCGGTTTTCTGGTGGTTTATTGGAGATAGGAGTCTCACGGTCTTTCTTGCCCGGGCTGGCTTTGAACCGCAATCCTCAGATCTCAGCCTCCTGAGTAGCTAGGATTACAGGCGTGAGCCACCAGCGCCCGGCTCAGGGATTTTTTAAATTTAATTTTTATTTATTTTTATTGTGAAAATACTGTACAGAGGGGTTACAATTACATGGGCAAGATAATGAGTACATTTCTTATCAAGCTTTGTAGCCTCCTACTTTGTTTCCCCTTCCCATCCTCCCCCCACCCCCACCAAAGTTGTAAAGTTCGTTTTCGACATAACGACTTGTACTTCTCATTGTTGCACATTTCAGGGATTTTTAAAAAATAGTTTATTGGAGATATGAGTCTCAAAGACTTTCCCAATCCTCAAATCTCAGTTCCCCAAGTAGGTAGGATTATAGGTATGAGCCACCAGCACTCCACAGTAGCTCTTATTTATTTTTTGAAGGTCCTGGGGCTTGAACTCAGGGCCTGGGCACTATCCCTGAGCTTCTTTTGCTCAAGGCTAGCGCTCCACCACTTGAACCACAGTACCTTCTGGCCTTTTCTGTTTGTTTATGTGGTATTGAGGAATCAAATCCAGGGCTTTGTGCATGCTAGGCAAGCACTCTACCACTATGCCACCTTCCCAGCCCTAGTAACTCTTTCTTTTTTTTCTGTCAGTCATGGGGCTTGAACGCTTGGGCACTGTCCTTGCACACTTCAGCTCAAAGGCAAGCATTCTACCGCTTGAACCACAGCGCCATTTCCAGTCTTCTAGTGGTTTATTGGAGATAAGAGTCTCATGGACTTTCCTGCCTAGGCTGGCTTTGAACTGTGATCCTCAGATCTCAGCCTCCTGAATAGCTAGGATTACAGATGTGAGCCACCAGCACCCGCCCTAGCTCTGATTTCTTTACAAATATTTCCTCCAGATTAAAATGTCCTTGACTACTAACAAGTTTATACTACCCAACTGCAAACCCTATAAAAGATCCTAGTTAAACGCAGTGCTTTTATCTTTCCTGTGCAAGGTGAATTAAACCTTGAAAAATATGTAATATGATACTAGTACAGAACACTTAAAAGACTTTTAGGTAAGGTAAGGAAGGCTTTAAGACTACTGCTGAGTTCAAACAACAGTAGGAAGACCTAAAAGTAGAAAAGGAAAATAGTACAAAGATGTAAGTATTCTTTAAACTATTATCATAAACAGAATTAGTTCTTCCTGCAATAACACTTGACACACATTTTCTTATAACTTAAAACAAAAGAGTGGCTTACTTACGTTTGGATCAATACAGTGAAAAAGATCAATTTCATTTAAATGTTTAAAATTGTCACTCCCTCCAAGACAACTGTATATAAAAAAAAAAAAAAAGTTTCAGTTAAAATAAAACAACAACAAAAAATTCAGTTGCCCAAAATCCCAATGATGTAAAATAGTAATTTACCTGAAAGTAAGTTTGGATTTTTCAAAGTTTACATTAACATCTTTACTGTCTTCAACACAAAATTCAATGAAGACATAGTCCCTTCGATCGTACCATTTCGCAGAAGCAGGCTGCCTACAAAGGGAGAAAAACCAGAAAGTCAAGCTGCAATTCATTGACTGTTTACATACCTCCATGTTTGGCACATGATGTTTCTCTACTCCATGGTAACATCATTATCTTTACTTTTCCTCAATAGCTATTTTCCAACTTAAAAGTAAGCTCTAACAAAGTTTAGATGAGCATCAGTTTCATAAGGGTTTTTGTGACAAGTGTTTTAGAATGTCTAAAACAAACACTAAAGGCAAATACACTCAAGTATGGTTGATTAACAGACACAATGAAGATCATGTGCAAAAGAATTTCCTTTAGGCAAGTTACTTGACATCAATGTTTAGTCCTGGCTACCTAGGGGCTTGATGCAAGAGTACCATACTTCTTGGGCTGGGAAGGTGGCTTAGTGAGTGGTAGAGTGCTTGCCTTGCATGCATGAGGTCCAGCGCTACATAAGCAGAAAAGGCTGGAAGTGGCGCTGTGGCTCAAGTGGTAAAGTGCTAGCTCAAGGCTAGCCCAGGTCCAGAGTTCAGGCCCCACAACTAACCAAAAAAAAAAAAAAAAAAAAAAAAAGCACCGTATTTCTCATTTTTGGTGCTTGTACTGGGGTTTGAACTCAGGGCTGGGGCACTATCCCTGAGCTGTTTTGCTCAAGGTTAGCACTCTGCTGCTTGAGCCCCAAGCCACTTCCAGCTTTCTGGTTATTATCTGGAAAGAGTCTCATGGACATGCCCAGCCTAGTCTGACTTTGAAGTGTGATCCTCAGATCTCAGCCTGCTGAGTAGCTAGGATTATGGACATGAGCATCAGTGTCCAGTTATCCCTGAGGTTTTTTTTTTTTTTTTTGCTTGAAGCTAGCACTCTATTGCTTGAGCCACAGATCCACATTTGGCTTTTTGGTGGTTTAGAGATAAGTCTTACAGACATTTCCTGCCTAGCCTGGCTTTGAACCATGATCTTCAGATCTCAGAATCCTGAGCAGGATCACAGGGGTGAGCCACACTGGTGCCTTCCTGACGCATGTTTTACTAATTATTGTGCTCCCAGATGTGTTATTTTCAAACTGAAGTTTTTTTTTTTTTTTTTTTTTACTAACCCTGTGCATTAGCACCATTTTTCCAATAGACAAATGTACTGCAACACATGTGCAAATAAAAGACATGGATATGGTTTTTACTATCTCTTGGTGGCAGTGTTGGCCTAGTATACATAACAAGGTTCTAGCTTGGAGCTCCAACATTATCTAAATCCAAAATGACCTAAAGAATAAAAATATTAATAAATGATACTCCTTTGCAAAATTCATTTTTCCTCTGGGCCTAGGCACTGTCCCTGAGCTCTACAGCTCAAGGCGAGCGCTCTACCACTTGAGCCACGGCACCATTTATATCTATGGCTCACTTCTGTAATCCTAATTAAGAGCCTGAGATCTGAGGATCTAAGTTTCAGGCTATCCCAAAGTCTCTGATTAACATCTCCAATTTACCCACAGAAAGGTGTAACTGGAGCCATGACTAGGAGGTAGAGTGCTAGCCTTGACTGGAAAAAGCTAAAGGACAGTACACAGGTCCTGAGTTCAAGCCCTAACCAGCCCCAGTAGCACTGCACACCATGCCCAACCATAGCCTGATGTGATGTCTTTCTTTCTTTGCCAGTCCTGGGGCTTGCCCTCAAGGTTTGGGCACTGTCTCTGAGCTTCATTTCCATCCCCATCCCGATGTAATGTTTCTTGTATTTGTAACCCCAGCAATAGGTAAGCTGATGTCAGGATGGACTGTATAGCAAAACACTAATCTACCCACGCATTAAAGACTGTAAGGCTCTTTTTTTTTTCCCCCAGGCAGAAAAGAGCTTATTAGGGGGAAAGCAAACTGCCTGCCTGCACAAAATGGAGACATGCAGAGAAAGTAAGGGGAAGGAAAAAGAAAAAGAGCTGTGAGACTATCACCAATAAATTATTAAAAAGCCAGAAGTAGAGCTGGCTCAAGTGGTAGAGCACTAGGCCTTGAGCACAAAAGCTCCCAGGACTGGCTTCATAAAATAATCAATAGCAGGGCGACAGTGGCTCATGCCTGTAATCCTAGCTACACTCAGGAGGCTGAGATCTGAGGATCACGGTTCAAAGCCAGACTGGGGAAGGAAAGTCCATGAGATTCTTATCTCCAGTTAACCACAGAAAACCGGAAGTGGCTGTGGCTCAATTGCTAGAGCACTATCCTTGAGCTGAAGAGCTGATGAACAGCACCCAGGCCCAGAGTTCAAGACCTAAGACCAACAATTAAATCCAAGTTTGATATTGGTTGTCATGTCTATCTAGGATCCTAGTACTCAGGATACTGAAATCCGAGAATTCAAAGCAAGGCTGGGCTGAAAAGTCAATGAGACTATCATCTCCAATTAAATGGCAGAAAACTAAAACTGGGGGCATGGCTCAAGTGGTATAGACTGGATGGGTAGAGGGAGTTAATAGCATCAGGCTTGTAGTTTTATGCCTCTGTTCTGACATGTGTGCACACACATCCACACCCCACACACAAAAAGATCTACTTTTATAAATCTTTACAGGACTGAAAATATGGTAACATGGTAAGCATAAGATAGAAAAATACTTCAACTTTTTTTTTGCCAGTCCTGGGGCTTAAACTCAGGGCCTGAGCACTGTCCCTGAGCATTTTGCTGAAGGCATAAAAAGCCACAATGACACTTCTGACCTTTTCTGTTTATATGGTACAGAGGAATCAAACCCAGGGCTTCACACATGCTAAGCAAGCACTCTACCACTGAGCCACCTTCCCAGCCATTTTAATCTATTTGTGTGTGTCTGCATGTTTGTCTAAGTGCACCAGTCCTGGGGTTCGAACTCAGGTCCTGGACTCTGTCCCTGAACAACTTTGCTTAAGGCTGGCACTCTACTTCTTGAACTACAGCTCTTTGAGCTATGCCCTATAGCCCCATGCTATAGTACTTGATGTACATCAAGATTTTTTTTTTTGAGCTAGATATCAGTAGTTCACACCTGAGCCACTGATGAGAACAGGAAGATCTCGCTCAACTTATGTCAGCTCAGGGATAAAAGTCCTTGAGCTCCATTTCCAATTGCTCATAGTTCAAAACCCCACTACTCTGAAAATAAAGCAAAAAGTCCTTTTATGAGCTTATTAAACTTTATTAGATTAACTTATTAAATTATTAGATTGTGAGACTAATGTACCTGTACGTTTCATGCTTGCTGGCAGGTAAGCACTCTACCACACTAAGCCACATTTCCAGCCCTCTATAAACATTTATAATGAGACTACTTTAAGATTTACAGCCTAGGGGCTGTGAAGATGGCTCAGTGGTAGAGTGCTTGCCTTGCATGCCTGAGGCCCTGGGTTCGATTCCTCAGCACCACATAAGCAAAAAGAAAAAAGCAGGAATGGTGCTGTGGTTCATGTGGTAGAGCACTAGCCTTGAGCTGAGGGACAGCACCCAGGACCCAGAGTTCAGGCCCCACAACCGGCCCCCCCCCCCAAAAAAAAAAGATTTACAGCCTAGATGCACCAATCTTTTATATATCTCAAAATACATTTGTGTATGTATGTGGGGGGGCTAATTCTGGGGTCTGAACTCAGGGTCCGGGCACAGTCCTTGAGCTCCTTTTGCTCAAGATTAGCACTCTACCACTTGAGACACAAATGGCCTTTTCTATTCATGTCGTATTGAGGAAATTAACCCAGGGCTTCATGCATGCTAGACAAGCATTCTATCACTAACTAAACCACATTCCCAGCCCACCTTTAAATTTTTGTTTTATTGAGATAAGGTCTTCCTATGCAGCCCAAGCTGATCTTCAACTTAACATTCTATTCCCATGCTCTCCTGAATACTGAGGTAATAGGTATGTGCCACCACACCCAGCCTCCAAAGTATCATTAAATATCAAGATATATGATGGGTGCTGCTATCTCACACCTATAATCCTAGCTATCTTAGAGGCTGAGATTTTAAGATTACTATTTGAAGTCAGTCTGGGCAGAAAAAAAACCATTGAGACTTTTTATCTTCAATTAACAAGCAAAAAAGACATTAGTGAAAAAAAGCGAACCAGGATAACACATAAACTTGCATGCAGTGTGCATGAGCCCAGGCTGGCCTCGAACTCTCAATCCTCATGCTTTAGGTTCCTTAGGGTTGTGATTACAGACCTGCACTAACATACCCAGATAGTACTGATTTTAAAAATAAAAAACAAAACTAATATTTAGTAAAGAATTTATCAGGGCTAGAAAGAATTTATCTGTAGTAGGGTGCTTTCCTTGCAATGCATAAGGCCCTGGGCTCGATTCTTCAGCACCACATAAGCAGAAAAAGCTGGAAGTGGCCCTGTGGCTCAAGTGATCAAGCACTAGCCTTGAGCTGAAGAGCTGAGGGGCAGCGTCCAGGCCTAGAGTTCCAGCCCTATGACCAACAAAAAACAAAGAGAACTGGTACATTTATTTCTTTTTTTTGGGTCCATTCGTGGGGCCTAAACTCTGGGCCTGGGCACTGTCCCTCAGCTCTTCAGCTCAAGGCTAGCACTCTACCACTTGAGCCACAGCGCCACTTCCGGCTTTTTACTTTTTGCTTATGTGGTGCTGAGGAATCGAACCCAGGGCCTCAGGCATGCAAGGCAAGTGCTCTATCACTGAGCCACCTTCCTAGCCCTGGTACATTTATTTCTATTGGTAGATGTTATCAAAGGCCCTACCTGTAAGTATCTGAAAGCAATCTCATTCTTTGCTCAGAGAAAGCCCAAGATGCTTTTAAAATTTCAGGTCTGTCTGTCCAGCAGTTGTACTAAGTTTTTTCTGGAAAGGCAATCTGAACAAACAGAATAGAATCATACTTGCAAAAAGAAAAAAGCTGGAAGTGGTGCTGTGGCTAGTGGTAGAGCGCTAGCCTTGAGCTGAAGAGCTGAGGGACAGCACCCAGGCCCAGAGTTCAAGCCCCATGATCGGACACACAAAAAAAAAAATCTGGGGAGCTGGGTGTTAGTGATT